ATTTATTTTTAAATCAAATTAATATAAAAGATTAAATATATTATATGAGGAGTATGGAGAATATGTGAAAGTCATTAAAAAGGGAGAAAAGAGAAACTAAAAATCGTTAGATAGAGAATATTATGTTGTTTAATTAGATAAGAATTATGAACATAATTAACAAACAAGGGTAGATTTGATAGATAAGATAAAATAGCTGAAGTAATTCTATTGATTCTTATCAGAATTAAGCATTCAATTAGGATTCTTGTGCTGAAAAAAATACACACAGGTTCAGCACTGCTTAACAAGTTCAGCAAATAGATTTTCATTTATCAAACACTCAAAACATCTGAATGTCTGAAAAAATTCAGATTCAGCACTTTTTTATGTTATCAAACAGACCCTAAATCCTCAACCCCCTCTCCCCCCCCCCTCCCAAAAAATGTTTATGACTAATTTAGCTAAAATGAAAGTCTAAGCAGGGAATACATTCTACTTAAAAAAATTAAACAAGTTTGGATACACACGTCTGAATTTGAAATTATGTTTTCCAAATATGTCTAGAGCAAGGAGTTTTGGAGGTTGCTAATTTGCCAATTTCGAGATCTAGAAATTTTGCTGACACAATTTATAATTTTACATTCTAGACATATTTTAAGCACACTTGTAGATTTTCTAGATAGATTATTGTAGCAAATTTTAAGGCTACAAGTTATTCCATAAAGGAGCTTCAAATAATAAACATCATATAGGAAAATTTGATCAAAATGATGGGAAATCTCTGTATATGAAGCTTGTGTAACTACTTATATTTGGAGTCAATAAGCTTGAGTATGATAGATAATAATAAAAAAGTTTCTAGAGGATAGGGACATAAGGTAGAAAATTAGAAATATTAGACCAACTTGAAAATTTTGATTAAGCCAACTAAACATTTCAAAAGGAAGATAGGAGGTGGAGACAAGGATAATAACTTACCCTATTATGATTTTGACATAAAATAGCCCATCAGGGAAAGATTGAAGACCAAAACAGTGAAAATGACTTCGACTTTGTACGAATAAAATAGATGAGTGTAGATTTCGTCTGAATTACGTGTTTTTAGACCCATTTTTCATAAATTCTACTGTAACGGTATATACGAAAAAATTATTGCATGAATTAGAAAAGAACAAAAGAAACAAGCAACTAGTGCCTCTGCACAAAATAGGATGAACAGCCCACAATTCTTTATATGTAATCGAGGGTTTTTGGTCTAAGGGAGTAGGCTTTCATTTTACTTGCTCATGTTCCACAAAGACAAAAATCACTGTGAAGAGTAATTTTACATTCTTATATACCAAAGACAATAATATATCTTGAGGCCAAGCACAACTAGCAATCTAAAGCCAATTTTAAACATGTTATCAAAACCATTTTTAGTTATCTAAGATGAACATTTCCTCTATTGTCTGGAAGTAAGAGAGGAAGAAAAAAAGAGAGAGAGGAGAGAACTAGTTCCTTTGCTTTAAATCCAAGGAAGCTGTTAAGGAGAGATATTAGTACAATGGCCAAAGAAACACAGATGGGACCAATCAGACCAACTAGTAAACTCTTGTAAAACCTTAACCTGAAGCATGGATTAAGTGCCTAAACTATGATGCATTCGAAAGTATTTGTTCCATTTCGAGAATGAACAATCTTCATGCATGCAATGTAAGCACATGATCTGTGAATTCTATCTAACAAAGTAATTTTTTTTCCCTTCTTGTGAAGCAGAAGGAGATCCACAAACTCATGCAACAGGTAAAGAATTCAAACAGTTTTTTAAGTGTCACAAAAGACAGTTGAAACCACAAACATTGCGCTTATTATTGTGATTCCAATATCAGAATGAAGAATAACAACGAATCTATGCACATAATTAACAGATTTCTTGACAAATTCCGTCAAAGAAATAACTCGATATTTTTTTTTCGGTCCCGGGGGGGGAGGGGGGAGTCCTCTTCTAACTTTCAGCAAGGGAGAGAAACAAAACAAAATAATGGCAGCACAGTCATAGCAGCCATATTCTAAAACAGGGAAGAAGCTCTATCTACCATTGTAGCCTCTCAAAACTAACTTGAGTGTACAGCTATTAACTTTAAGAAACCTATACTTCATTGTACAAACAAGGCCCCTGGACTGCAGATCCACAAGAGCAACAATTTGCCTGGGATCCAGCACGGGTGCACAAAAATTTGAAATAGAAAGAACCAATTTGTACAGGTGAACGCCATTCACATGAAGTAGCTGAGGGACTTCTTTCTTCTGGAACCTCCTTCACCATACAGTTCATTCCACTGTAGAAGCTCATTCATGTTTATGGACTCCGATGAAACACTAGCACAAACCTATAACCAGAGTGGACTTAGAAAATCACTTCACAACACAACCAAGACGTTATTATGTATGTTACAGTTCTAGAGATAATCTCACCCTTTCATGAGCAAACTTGAAGTCTTCCATGTTCAAGGGCCGAATATCACCGCTGCTGCTCAAAGCTGGTGGAGGTTTACCTTCTGCCAATGCAGCAGCATGCTCCTGTGACCAGACCATAACCAATCAATTTCTTTTAAAAGATCAGCAAACATATCTTTACTTCCCAAAATCTAAATGGCCCCAGCATAACTCAATGTATCTAAGAAACAGGATTGAATCCTTGAAACTGATGAATCCTAGCAACATGTACCAGAAATAAGATAATATGATGTCAACCGCTACTGCATCAAGTTTCAACATCAGGAAGAAATTTCTGGTGTGAGCAATTTAAAAGGAACCGCTAAAAGTTCCTAAGCTAAGTCGGCAAGAGGTATCTTGCACAAGCCTGGACAAAATCTCATGTTTATAGCAGCAATAAGATAGAGAAATGCACCAGACCCAGTCAAAAAAGGACAAACCAAAAAGTTGAACTTCTCTAACACCAGAAAAGGACAAACCTTTTTCTCCTTTTCCAAAATCTCTCTAATAGGCCTATGTGCAGCTGCAACACATAGATTCTGCAATACATAGGTTTCAAGTTAAACATATCAGAGCCCTTGTAACCATCACACTGAAGTGCTGATTTTATTACATAAACTGGATAGAAAGAAAAACCTTGAGGTCACTTCCGGAATATCCATCAGTCATATTTGCAACTGCATCCAGATCAACATCAGGAGACAAATCTTCCTTGGCTAATATGACTTTAAGAATCTTTGCTCTGTTAGGAGCATCAGGCAAATTGACCATCAACCTGCAAAAAAAAAAAAAGAAAAAAGGAAAATCATTACTAGGTACACAAAGCATCAGAAACACCACAAGCTCATCAATATCAATAAACTGCAGAAGCTATAGATGATTAGTAGTTTACCTGCGCGGAAGCCTTCTTATAACTGCTTCATCCAGGTCAAAAGGCCTGTTTGTAGCAGCAAGAACGAGAACTCGTTCCGTGTCTTTTGTTCGCAGTCCATCCCAGTTGACCATAAATTCATTTTTCATCTTACGCATAGCCTCATGTTCTCCAGGGTTTTCCCTCCTCCCCAGCATGCTGTCAACCTATTCAAGCAATTCAAAATAGAAAAAGATCAGTAAGTTATCAAATTCTTAAAATTTGAAAAAATGCACCGTATAGCTTTTGTTGGAAACCTACTTCGTCGACAAAGACAACACTTGGTGCAATTTTACTAGCTAATGAGAAGACAGCCTTGACATATTTCTCACCCTCACCAAACCACTGCAAAATTAAAGAAGTGGAAACAATTAAAGATATAATATGCACAATGATAAATTGCAGTAGTTGCAAATTACAAGTTGCAGCTTGGACATTGAAAGTGAAAGCATTATCCAACAGTAAAATCATCAAAAATGACAACCATAAAAGTAGAGCATTTTAGTTTTAACCTTCGACGTAATGCTTGACATGGAAATATTGATGAAATTTGCACCAGCTTCAGTTGCAACAGCCTTTGCAAGCATAGTTTTTCCTGTACCAGGTGGCCCAAATAGAAGTATACCCTTGCAGGGCTGCAAATGAAACAATGAAGCAGCAGTTCATGAAATGAAAATGAAAATGTCCCCGAAGGCCCCAAAAAAAAAAAAGAACAGAAGATAGAAACTATTGTATTCACATAATTCACAAATAAAGGGCAAACAGAAGATAGAAACAGTGTTGTATTCTGCAACTTGCAAATAAAGAAAAGCTTGAATCAAACATTGTTATGGTTCATCAATCACAACTTCTACAGAACCAAACTAAGAATTTCTGGGGAGGTTAAATACACTAACAAATAATATGACCTCTCTGTCAGTAATGTGCGGCATGTGACACAGAGAGAGTCAGAGTCAATCACATCTAAAACTAAACTAAACTCCCAAATTCTCATTCAAATAAAAATTACGGCTAATAAAGGGTATGCAAATGAAACCTTGGTCAATTGACCCTTGCAGAATAGTTCAGGCCTTTGTAAAGGAAGCATCACCAACTCCTTCAGTGTATCCTTGACATTTTCTAGTGCTCCAATATCATCAAACGTCACTCCAATATCACTGGGAGGTATAACATCTGCTAGAAGTCTCTTCTCAAATTCATTCTCGGTCACAACATCCTATTATAGGAACAAATTTTAGTTCAAAAATTCCAAATGAATACCTTCTCAAGAGTACACAGCGAGAGCAGTACAGAATATTAGCACATCATGAGATTGTTTTTTCAGGCCTATTCCCTCATGCAAGGAGTTTGAAATAACAATTACCTTGAGTGACTTTTTCAAGCTCTTGGACTCATTCTGGATGGCTTGTAGAATTCCAATCCCATGCTGAATGCTGCTAGATTGGCCAAAACTGGTGTCACCCCATAATACAATGCCCCAAACAACAAATTAGAAAAGGCAAGTCATATTTCTGTCACCTCTCAGTTGAAAAAGCAAGCCTGGATTCTGAATCATTTTGTGTGTTCTGCATCAAATGATGGCTTAATGCCCATCCGACTATCTTCTCCGCACCTTCAGTAACAAGCCAAGATGAAATTTTAACACACATTTAACCTCATAATAAACTGACTCCATTGATAAGTTGATAAACACAAACATGCTTCGACTATTATATGCATAAATACATCTCCTGATAAAAGGGTTAAACAAAATACATACTCTCTATTGTCAGTGTTTGATCCTTGATGCACAGTGTCTCAAGTCCATCACAGTCCAATCCAGTCCGAGTCAAAACCTATACACACAAAAAGACTGTTAACTATAAATCTTATTAAATAGGCAAACAAAATATAATGATTAGAAGGTACAAGGATCAATGTTTGAGTATGTTGGGGGATGTGAGCAGATGGGAAAACTGCCAAAATTTGCCAATGTAGACTACGTCTATGACTGATTTTGGCACCAATCAAATCGCACAAATGTTAATCAGACAGGCAATTAATATTTTGATATGCTGCAAACAATCCATGAGAAAATTTGTTGTTCAATAGCAAATCATGGCCACTTAGCACAATAATATCTGTTTTAGGCAGGTTGACAAGTACACCAAGCACGGAATCTCAAGACACTTTCTATCACATTCTATTCAAGGCTTCAGAGATTTCTGAAAAGAAAAGTAGAAGAAAAAGTATTCAGCATTCAAGCAGCAATTGAAGCATTAAGACATTAAATTATTTATGCGATTCCACTTTCATTGGCCTGAATTGCACTGTATTAGAATCAACTTAAACACGTTTTCTCCATTTCCCTGAAGAAAGGGCAGTATCTGCCCATGCAAACCACAAACATTATTCATTTGGCCACGTTACTCTTCATGGCTTATTTTCTTAATTTCTTATCCATTTATCTGCAACAACTGAATCGGTAATAGTAACTCTTTCGTTTTTTGACTGGAAAAAGTAATAAATTTGAAGATTTCACAAGTTCCAAGGCACCATATCAGCATTTAAATATTCCTAGTTCCTCCCAACCTAATAATTGCAATTTCACCATCCAACTTGTACAAAGATGAAATCTGAGGTTTGCTGGAAATGGATGGATTCAATTACCAGGCTTGGATATTAAGAACCAACAAAACTTAAATAAACAAGGAGATACATAACTCCTTGTCTAGTATAGGTTCCAATGGTTCCAGCTAATCCTTAGTTAGCAGCACCAACAATACCTACTAAACAACTATAACGAATTATATATGTACAGATTAATAAACTATTTACAAATCATGAAACCATTTTATTCATATTGAAAGAGTAAAGGAGATCCATCAAACGCTATTGACCAAACAGAAAAGAAGATTTACAATTCATCAGAGGGATTCATGGCAGAACCAATTATTAGTCCAAAGAATTAGTGGCCAAGATTAACTATGTGTTAAGTTGATAGCTGGTAAAAAATCCACAATCTATAATATATAAGCAGAAAGTGTAAATGTTATCTTTCAGTTATGTACACTTTGATACTAGTGAATGTATAGGCACTGCATTAATGTACACAGACGTATACGCATAGGAACATGGGTTGGTCGTGCAAATTATTTTGAATAATCATTCAGATCCCAAGGATTTGAAGTTATAATTTTTAAAAGATGCAGGAGGTTTCACAACCAAACTTCTGAAAAACTATATCTACAAAATTATATCTTCTGAAAAACTTCTGAGAGAGCAATAGTTCTTTGCTTGAAAAGTAACTGCCAGAGAATCCATGATGGACAATGTGTCATAAGCATCACAACAATGATCCTATATCCGGTTCAAAACAAGATAAATCCAGACAAAGTTGGGTCTCTAGATTTACCAAAACCATGAGTTTTTTTGTTTAACGCTTTAGAATTTAAACAGCTTATCTGCAATAGGAAGTTTCACAAAAATTATGATATGATGAGCCAAGGCAGCAGTTGGTAAATATTTTATATAATCCTGGAAAATTTTCTCACTGTTCGCAAGTTGTTCAAGTTTGCTTTCATTTTGAGGGTTTCAGCATCTCGCTCCAATTGATGCTTCCAACTGGCTTGGAGAGCTTCATCCTACAATGGTTACACACAATCAGATTACACAAATTGAAAAGCAAAAGAATTATCTAAAGTTTTGGCCCAGACCTGAGGCATGTTAATGGTCACTTTGTTGGGGAAAAGTTTTGTCAGAAGCTTCGTTGCCTTGGGAACATCCTTCCCTCTGTCATGTAGCCTTCCAAAGTTATCCTGAGGTTATCAGAATTTTCATTTACATCAGATATAGCACTTATTTAGTAGGAAAAAAAAAAAAAGAAAACCTATAATATAAAAGTGCACACAAGCAATTCAGAAATTATATATAAAGCAGCACAAGATGAAAGGAATTATGGAAAGTCCAGTCCCAGGGTTCCAAAATGACGATCAGTTTGCATGCACATGACAACTAGTAGGAACATCGACCAAGGAACACAAATGCATAATACATCAATACTAACAACCAAAGGTGGAGTTTCAACTTTAAACAGAGAAAGGGTTCAGGAAATGCAAAAGACATCTATTGTAAATCAAAGGAGCAAAAATTCCAAAAAGCAGCCTAACAAATAATCATCTCCTAAAAAGCTTCTCTACAGATAATTTAATAGTAGGGTACAATTTGTTTACTAATTACTAGCTAGACGTACATGCGCACGCAAAAAAAAAAAAAAAACCTGCTTTCATAAGTGCACAAATTGCACCAATAAATGGTAAAATATATCCAAGTTTCTTTTTGCCATCTTAACTTCATTTTGTACCTCAAGATTTTTTACGTTGCAAAATGGTTCTTCTGCAGATATATGGTGTTCATGCAAACCTAGAATAGGCTTGTTTATGCTACTACAATTAGGATTTTCTATTTTCTTCATCTCTCATTTTACATTGTTCTCTTTTCATTATTCTTTGGCTTGTACTTTTTGTTCTCCATTCTTCTTCAATAGAACAGTATTCCAGAACCAAAGAGTTGGGATGACAACAATAAGCTGGTGCACTCAGGCAACTGACTTTTCTGCTACACATCTTCTCCCCTCGAAGCATATACTAGAAAGCATTATCAAAGACCAACAGGAAAAACCCAAGCCACTTCGTTCATTGGGGCATCACTATTCCTCAACTGAGATGACCCTAAACCACCAGTAAATTTGTTCAAGACACACAAACGTTATCAAAACAGGAACTCTCAAGTTTCAACAACAACCAATCTAGATCTCCATGTTTACCAGTACATTACAAGGCTTTGACACCATAAAATCCCATAAATCCAATATTATTCTTCTTTGAAGTACTGTCACCATAAAAGAGGTACAAAAGCCAACTGAGACCTCACTCTAAACGAGGTAATTATCAAGCAGTGGCTTATGTGACAAATACTTGGTGCTTCTCTAGTAAACTATCTGTCCTTTATATTGCATTACCATGATTTAAGTTTCCCATACCTTTCTGGCAGATGGAATAAATTATTACAAAATTGGCATTCAGAAAATAGGACACTAATGGCTGAAAGTATGCATCAGAGTGAATTCAAAACTTTACAAGGGAGACAGGAATAATAAAACCTCCAATAGAAGCTCTATTTGTAAATCTCAAATCCTTTTAATTTTTAAAAAGTTTAAGTTATTCCACTTTACATGCAAAGGAACAATCAGACCAAAGAAACTACAATTTAAAGCATGAAGCAACTTCAACTAACCCGAGCAACATTTTGAATGAATGATTATAATAAGCCAAAGATACATTCACAAAGCTTCAAATCCGAAAAATGTACATCTTACCGGAAACGCCAAATCAAGTAAAGCAGTTTGATTGCTCCCAAATTTTGTGAAAAGCAGACCTCCAGGATGTGACTGCAGGAGGTATAGAAGGTGAATATACAAAAAGAGAAAAGTTAAGCCCCATTCTCAACTATAAGCTAGTAAAGAAGCATAGACTGTTGACTCATCTAGGCAAGTAAATTAAGTTTCAACTCTGAGACACATGCGCACAAGCCAATAAAATCAGTCATAATAAAGGCTGCCTTTAGGCAATCAAAATCATTTTATTTTGCTGATAGGTAAGTGAGAATACATCGTCAAATGAAACACATGTTTATTGTACAACGAGATCATGCACCCTCGGCATCTAGAAAGATATCCTCTTTCTCACCACTAAACATCACTTAAGTCAACAAAACTGCAATTCTGCAATTGTTTTGAGATCAATTTCTTACTCTGTTTAGATACATATCTTTTTCAACTTTGCGGCAGAAATCATTAAGAACATTTCACACACCTCAAATTTACAAGGCTTACAAGGACTACCTTTACCACAACTTTCCAAGCAAGTAAGAGAGCATTTCCTCTTATAGCATCAACAAGGAAAATGATTCCCAAAGTTGAAAAGAAGCAAAGCAACAACCATGAGTCAAATTAAAACACAATACTACAGACGGAAATTGAATGGATCTACGAAACAATTTGTTTTTGTTCTACAGCCCCACTCCAAATGTCCAAAGGAATCCCAGGAAGCAACTGGAGAAAATGAAAGTTTTAAGAATGGATTTGCTAAAAGCCTAAATAGCAAACATTAACATGTTCTTATTTTTGTTTCATTTCCTCATTTCTAGTTGTTTGGCATGTCCTTCGCTTCCACAATTTAAGGCATAAACTTTTTAAGACAGAAGCGCTTAAATAACCAATAATCAGTTACTTGCACTCCTGTTCCTGATTGTAGGGGATTAATTATTGTTTAACTGTCATGTAATGTGCCTTTTTTATGTTCTCCATGACAGGAAATATCCTTTCTAAACAGAACTAAATTTCTGAACATAATGCCTGAAATGCTAGAAATTAAACTCAAATTTTCTTCTGCTATTTCTACCCTCTATCATTTCTTTGAATTTCTAAGTAATTCAATGCCCAAGAGAGATGTGATTTAAGTTAATATACCTACACATTCAACATTACAAATTATTACAAGAACAACAAAAGAAATAGAAAGGCAGAAAGAGATATGATCTATGGCAAAAGAACGACCATCTGTGTACATAATACACCTTCAAAACCTCTTCTAAAAGTCACTTTCAAGATCCCACACAGCTCACCCATATACTACCTTCTTTGTCTTATCAAAATTAAATTCATTGTAAAAGACTTTAAAAAAGTGAACCCAGCTAGCCCCACATAGTTTTCTCAGGAAAAAACACACAACCTAAGGGAAAAAAAAATCACTCCGGATGTCATGCTTCTTAACGGCATAATGCCTCAACAAGGCACTATGGCACATATAGGCCATTACAGTAACAAGTTGGATAAAAAAATACAGCCCATTGAAAGTCAGTACACGTAGTGACATCAGTACCTTTTCCTTACGATTGTCAGTATGTGTATGTGAACCAATAACAACAACATTGTTCGGAAGCTTCTCAAGCTTGGCTTTGAAAGTCGAGTATGACTCAGAATTCCCCACCATAGACTTCTCAGCATCTTTCATGAACAAAATGAAAGGGGAATTTCGGCTCTCACTAGAGACAGCCTAGCAAAACACAGACAATTTTCAGTGATGAAAAACTGTAAAAAGCGATATTACTAGAATCTGATTCACTTGATATCCATTTAATCCTACCTCAAATAATGTGATAATCAGTAACCTGTCCAGATCTTCTGAACCCGTGGCTTCCAAACGGAGTTCATTGGCTATAAGTAGGGAAAGACAGAGAGAGAGGGTAAGAATATTGTCAAAAACCAAATCTAGCTCGCACATTTTATGGAAATCAGGAGACATTGAAACTTGGGTTCATCTGTTAATGGGTATCAGTTCTAGTTGGACATACCATTGCAAAAGAATCCATGACCCATGTCGCAAAGACCTCCTAAGTCAACACCATCTGTTACAGGTTTATCAAATCTTACGCCAATTTTTGACAAGGGATTATCTTCAAAAGGCAACATAACCTTCCCACGCGTTCCAAAAACGGGGCCCCTAGAAATTAGGCCAAGAATTAATGGTCATATACAGCAAACGAGCAGAGATTGCATGCAGTAGAAACTTTAAAACGACACGACAGAGAAGGAACCAACATTAGCATAAATAAACACTCGTGACAAATCATATGAAAACCAATAGCAACATAATTACGCAATATAGAACTAGAAACAGAGATGCAAGAAATGCTAAGTAAGTTCATGGTTTACAATTTTGAAGCCAACTAGGCACAAAAAGGGAAAGAAAAATAAAAAATATATAATTGTTAGCTGCACTAGTATCCATTAAGTTCTGCAACAAATACAATTTTCATTTGGTTTAAAGAACCCAATTTGTCTCTCTGGTTTACATTTTTATAATTACACAATTCATTTTCAAACAAAAACTCTCTCCGCTGCTTGAAAGACAACAATTAAAATCTTTGGGCTCCACATGTCCAGAAAAGTTTGGCCTCACTTTTCAGAACTCTACTAGGCTGCATTTACATGTTAAGATAAACCATACTTTATTGATAGTCTTACGATCTTTCTTTCTGTCATTATTTATTGAATATATTTATATTGTCTAAAGCATCACTTCATATAATATGAGTGACAAAGCATATCTTCTTAACATAGCCAGATTAAAACCCCCAAATACTCCATATTAATCCAGCTTGCTGCAGCATCAGTATAATTAAACTCATCACTCATCACATATCTTGATAGAACTACACATTACTGGATTTGTAACGCCCAGGGCCCAAGACGTGGCCCAACAACCTTTGAACGGAATCCACGGGCTCAAAATGGTTTACCCAGGTTGTTAGATACCCCATGGGCTCAAACTAATATTGAAAGTCATTCCCCTCTATCCCACTGATGTGGGATATCACAGGACTACAGCCTGGAAAAAAATGATTCACCAAGCATGAGATTGAGAAACTATGAATTGAACTGTCAGACTCATCCTAGATTAGACTCCAGTATCAAACTCAAATGATAAAGAGCACTTTTATCACTAGAAATATCAAATAGAAGGCCAGAAGAGGAGAAAGAAAAGGAAAAAATGTGGTGGACAGAGTTCATAGCAAAACAAAGAATTAGGCTTGAACTTGGAAAATTCTAGTGGAGCTTCTTTTGGAGTAAATTGAACACCCAGTTGATGTCTAGCTTCCCTAATTGTCATCTTTGACAGCCAGCTATTTCATTTAGCCACAAAGTCATTACCACAAAAAGGAAAAGAAGATCACTGCTTTATAGAGACAGGCACATGTGAAGAGAAAAGTTCCCTGCAATCACAAAGAGGACCCTAAGCAGCCAAAAAACATAAAAAAATAAAACTTCGTTTAGATAAACAATCATATTGTACATAAGAGGAAAATATCTGGATCTAAACAGCGTTGTTTTTCCAACCAGAGCAACTTCTATAATTACAATCAAGTATATATCTAACAAAGACACCAGTCTAACAGAAAAGACAGAAACCTCAGTGAGCAGAACACCAATTAGTAAGAAACACCACCAATAAAGACAGACAAATCAAGGAATCCACTTAAACTAAATAATGAATCACTGAAACAATGTTTCTCATTTACTAAAAAACAGAAGACAATTTAGAGATGAATTACATGCTAAATTTACCTTGTAGGAGATGAATACAAGCTACCAGAAGTGGAACCAATAAATCTCACTTTATCACCTAGGAATCCAGATTTTCAGTTATGTCAGGTGAAAAATACAGAATAAGTCCTAAATTCACATGGTATTGCATAGCACATTAATATGGAACTAACTTATAAACCATAAACTAATATACCAATTCTAAACGATGGATTCTTAGATGTCCCAGCTAAGGTAGGTGAATTGTCGGTCTCTGACTTTAGTTGGGACTCCAAGCCAAGTGTTGTATCTACTTCACCAGATGAAGCCATGATGCCCTTGGTCAAGTCAGAGGTTCCAGAAAGTTTTTTCACAATATTGCAGATTTTGTCCACATTGTAACCCTCTTTCAGTAGTTCAGCTTCTTTAAAAGACAAACCCTAGAGAACAAAATAGGTTTAATCAATGACACCAAATGCATCTTCTCAGAATGCAGATGATAACAATATGAATGATATCAGGGACTAACTACTATAAAAAACTTTCAGTGTCCTGAAAGTTAAACTGATAATGTAAAAATATTGGAAAAACAAACTGTAGAAATCATTTATGAAAAGATCAAACCCGAAAAAAAAAATCTTATCTAAATAAATGTGTCTTACACCCAAAAACAAGTGGCTATCAAATATAAGCAATTTAGCCCCATAATAACGAGCAAGTGCCTTGGCCAACATCTCCTGGTATATTTCAGATCCTGATAAAGCAAATATAAATATAAGTTCCACGCTGACAAACAAACTTTGACGTGGCAGGAAAAAGAAGAATGTAACAAAAATAATCCGCAGAATATTGTAACAGACCTGCAGGACCAGAAAGTAAGATTCTTGGATTCACAGTTGGAAGCTCAGAGGTGTATTTAATTTGTTCCCTGTGCTTCAGCTGTATATATGTAGCTGCAATGAGCACATTTTTTGTACTCTCACTGCATGTTGAAAAAATTACCATAAACACAAATTAGAGATAAGCCGAAGATAGATGGAAGAATGGAGTCAACAGCAAGTGAAGTTTGTTTTACTTAGTAGCCCATGCACCATACGAAATAGACAGCAAGCAATCGTATATTAACATAAATCAATATCAAACAACAGATTCTAGCTTAGAACCAGGTTAGAAAAACTTAATTTATTTATAAAGTCATTTCTGTCCCTTTACAAAAGCTTTTATGTTTATACTATAGATGCAAGCATGACAAGGATCATAGCAAAACAAACAAAAAATAACCAAAAAAAAAGCGTGACAAGGACAGTAGATGCCCTTACTGCCAACTTTGAATGGTTAAGAAAAATAAAGTAATGACCACTAGCGGATCACTCAGGAACGTGCAGTTCCAGAATTCTTTAAAACTTGTAACGGACAAAAATGAAATCATGCAATTCCCCTCTATATGTTATTCCGTCTAATAATTTGTCCAGCATTCTGCTTAATTTTAAATTCCAAGTAACATTTGTCCCTACATAACAAAGACACTTATGTTAAGCCAGTACTGTTATCTTACCTAAACAGCGTCACCAGTCAGAAGGCCATGTAAGCTAATTTATCACTAGCAAAGGCATTTTCAGAGAAACTGTGTCACCAGTCTAAGCTCACTGAAGCTCAAAACAGGTTACATGTTAAACAAGAATTTTCCTCAGCAGTCATGCATATTATTGTGTACACAGATCAACATCAACATTCCTTCAAATTCTTTTTCCTCTAGTTTCTCCAAGCTTGATTACCAAACCCAATTTAAACATGACATTTGATATTATATTTGCCCAATATAACCACAATTATACATTTTAACTTGTAGAATGGAGACTCAAAGTGCCAAGGCAAGCTATGAAAGGCAGCAGACAGAGGGTGCGGAGTGTTTCAGGGGGATGGAACAAACAACTGATTCACCTATAAATGGTAGAAACCTTCTATATTACTTCTGGGAGCCTTTGAGCATGTAACCATGCTGCCTTCTATTGCCAAGCATAAGATATAGGCCTTCTTAGTAGAAACATCACAGCCCATTAAGGATAATAATATGGATAAGTTACCTTGTGCCTCCTTGGTTAAGAAACCCACATCACGACCACCCTATCATCTAAAAAGCTACCTCTTATCCAACATGTCAAGTGCCCCTACTTAACAATCACATAAGTAATTTCTGAATCTTCCAAGGCTTTATCAACAACAAAAATAAGAATGACTGAATGCAATCCAGCAGAAAGAACTAGAAATTAAGGAAAATTGACAATTCAAGCCTATAGTACGTTGAAGAAATGCAGGCATATGATATGTCAGAATGCCAACCTGAGATAATATGGGAAGTCATCAAATGAAACTTCAACGTCACGGCCATCAATTATACCAGCATGAATATCTTCTCTAAATACTGCACATCGTAAAGACATCCCTGATGTCGATGCTGGCATTGAATCCCTTGTCCACTCTCTATCATCCAATATCTGTTTTCACATTTCCTTGCTCAATTTTGTGTAATAAGCAAATTGGCTCATAGATAAATCAAAAGAAAATTTCCAGGAAGAAGTTTACATTGCCTGCCTCTATGATTGCATTGTTGGCCCCGCTTTCAGTAGCATTATCTCCTCTAACATTGGTAGCTGAATCAACTTCCAGGCCATCAAGCTCATCTTCATTTGCATTTGGAGAAGAAGCTAGGTCATTCCCCAGGTAGGATTTACCACTAGCCTGAGATGTAGTCTTCAAGCGTGAAATATCTTGCCGCAGACTAGAAAGCGAAGCCAATATAGAAGCACCAGCAACAATTGAAGCATCCCCAGCCCGTCTTTCAACATGCAATAGTTTTCCCACATTACTTTGAAGATCTGATGAGGGTGTCTTCCCTACAAGCTCACATGGAAGTTGCTGAAAAATCTATTTAGAGAAACATTAAGGATTTTCCACACTGTCAAAAAATAAATGCAATTTAAGAAGTGGAAATACTAAAAGACAAAACAATGGACTTGATGGAGGCTCTCATCCCAAAAGGCAAAAAGGATACATAAGCATGGTTTCCCGTATCACCAAAGACCACTTCATCCCCTGAGCTGAGAACACAACTAGTATTTTTCTTTATTGTCTTTCCATTGACTTGCACAGATCCTTTGCTTCCTCGGCTCTCAAGCAGAGCTACAGAACTCCCTGCACGCTGCTCATCCACAGATAACAAATATCATCTAGTATGTAAAGCAATACAGATTTCGTGCACAGAAATAAAGGAATACGCAAAAAGGATCCTAGTGGAACAAAAAATATGTCCAATTTATAAAAGAACTCATCCTTTGATTAATTGATTCAAAAGCCAGAGTCTTGGGATTCAGCCAAAATTGTCTCATAAAATCATGGGATTGTTAGTCAAAATATGTTAAACCGGCATTAGTTTGTACCAAAAAAAGGCAGTCCAAAATTCAGATTATTTGAGAAGAGAAAGATCATCTACTATTCAATCTAATATTCCTACACAATGCCTTGCAGCTCTGCTAGTTTTGATACCCAAGAAAGAGGGAAATGCTCTTTGTTAGCCTAGGCAAAAGGATAACCAAGCAACATGAATATCATGAAATTAATCTCATACAAACCTCAAGCTTCTATATCTACATTTCACAAAGTCACCCAATCCAGGTAATCTCAAACTAGTCCCTTCTTTAAATAACAGCCACGCATGAACATTCATCTTATCCAACCTGAAATTTTAGCCATGCAATAAATACTCCACTGAAACTAGAAGGTAGTACCTTTGAAAGCCTTATTGTACACCTAACGTTTTGATCCCTGATAAGAAGATTGGCATTCTTGCCTGGTCCGATCAAAAAATGTGTACGATTGACAGAGACAGTAGCGTTCTGCAAAAAAAACCCAAATATGGCAATTGGTCAGTTAAAAGTCCGAACCTTTTTCATATCTATAAATTTCCAGCAAAAGAATAGCAAATGCAGACCATTCAATCTCATTCAAAAATTTTTCTTCTTTTTTGTGCATCCATTTCAAGTTGCATAGAAAGAATCAAACTTGAGCTCAAAACAACAATTAAAAACAAGCACATTTCTAAGCAAAGGAATTGACCTGCTGATATTGTGATAGTAACCTACACCAGGGCGCTGGCATTTCATACCCCTGATGCTGCTTCCATGATGAAAATGAGCTTCTGGTCTTGTCCAAAATAACCGGGGTGGTCCCTATTGTAGCAAGAAAACCGAGAAATTAATCGATTTCTGACGGCAAAACTCAACAGCTTATTCAAGAAATGAACAGGAAATACAGATATAGGTACCTTCAGCAACAGGAGTGGCAAGGGATGCAGCAGGGACAGTAGCAGAAGGGTCAACTCTAGTGGGGTGGCTGACAACCTCAGCGCCGCCACATGCAGTAGCCGGAGGACCACCGCCTGTGAATCCAGGTGGATCAGTAGAGCACAATTCCTTAGAATTCTCCGCAGTTGATTTCTCAGATGCCTTTGCATTGCTACTTTCCCCCTAAAATTCAATCCAAAAAAATCAATCAAAATCAAAACTTTCAAGGACCCCTCAGAAAAATCAGGAAATGACAAGAACCCATTTCTTAAAACACTTCAAAAACTATAGAAATCCATCAAATCAATCCAGTAAACCCCGTAAAGAAAATTCACTCTCCCCCTGTCTATCTTTCTCCTTTATCTCTCTCTTGGGAAAAAAATTCATAAAAAAGGTGGGAGAAATGTTTGGGAGTACCTTGGGACGCTTTGGAGAGGGAGGGTTATTATCAGAGGAAGAAGATGATCTCTTGTTGCTGGTGTTGGACGGGAGGGATCCGCTTCTTCTCGTAGAAACCATGGCTGAGGCTTTGAGTTCTTTCTCTTCTCTGATAGAGCGAGAGCGACAGAGACAGAGACTTGCGGAGACAGAGAGAAAGGAAAAGAAAGAAAAAGATTGCAATAATTAAAAGCCAAAAAAATTATGAAACAAATGTAAACAAATGCAGAGCAGAAAAATATATTTTATAGTATTAGATTTTGGCGAAAGGTTTTCTGTTTTCTACTTTTGTTCTTTAGCTTTTTGGTTGGTGTGGGGATTTACTGGCTGTGGGTGTTGGGGGGTTTTTATATTGGGAAGATGAGTCAAGTGATGTTTCTGGGCATTGGATATACAATTACATACATGGTCAGGAGCTGAATAGCTAGCTACTAGTTTTGGTTCCTTTGTCCCTGAACTTTGCTGTACTCCAATAACAATTTTTAGTAATGGATGGCTAAATTATGCTGTAGTCAACTCCTAACATTCTTTTGCTGCTGATGATGAAGAATTTAATAGCAGGACAATGAGCTAAAATCAATATTATTTTCCTCATATAAATTTAGTGTCATATTTTGGTTATGGATAGTAATGATGCTTTTAGGTGCATGAGTTAAAGGTAAATGTTATATTTTGTTGTACAGATTTATTTTCATATTTTGGGCGTGACTATGCTTTTGGGTGTGGATTTTCACAATTAGGTGCATGTTAACTAAATTAAACTTTAATTGAATTACATTCTTTTCATTATAAATTTATCGACATGGGAATAATTTAAACTTAATAATATTTCCTTGTACAGGTGTATTTTCATATCTTGCATATGGAGTGATGCTTTTACAGATGGACTCACACGATGAAATGATACTTTTACAGATGGACTCACACGATGAAGCGGTCGTAATCTAAGTTAGTTATTTGTTGCCAAATTAAGCTCTAATTCATATATATTCTTTTCTTTGAGCATTTAACGACATTAAAATGAGTTAATTTTAATATTACTTTCCTTATGCAAATATATTTTCATGTTTTTGCTTTTATTTTGTTACTCTTGTTTGTGTTGTGAGACTTCAGGATGAGTTAAAGTGTGTCAAATAATCTCCTATACTAAAATTACTATTCCTACATTTGGTTTTTCTTTATATTACTCTTGTTTGAATTTTAAATGTTGATACAAGTTAAAAGTTAATTTTCTTATCCAAATTTATCATCTAATTTTTATTTTGTTTCTTTTGTTGTTTTCTCTCGTGTAAAAAGTAATATAGTGCACTGGTGCTTGCAATTTTGCCAAAACATGAGAAGAAGAAAATGTGCATTTTTTTAATACCTTTGAAAATTTTTGTGAAATAAGCAATAAGACGAGACTTTTTCTCCTTGAGTATTTTCTCTATTCAATAGGAGACTATGGTAAGTATCTTCACAGTGAATAATGGAGTATTAAACAACTTCAATAGATGCATGTAATGCGCATGTCACTTTGAAATTTAAAATAAAATTGGTGTGTGGTGTTTTCTCTTTTTTTTTTCTTATTTATCTTGTTTCAAAGCACAAACACTTTTTATATTCATTTATCGTATTTTTGTTTTTAAAAATCAAAAGGCATTAAGCAAATATGTCAAACTTGTAATTTTGCATTTTGTTATTAGTAGGGTTAAATATGAAAAACCGCTTTGTGGTTTTACCGAAAATTAACCAGACACCTTATGATTTTGAAATATCCATATAACACTCTTATATTTTAAACTAACTTGAAATTTCACATGTAGCCTGTATGTGACATGCAAGTGATGTATTATCATTATTATTTAATTTTTTTTCCTTTATATTATTTTTCCTTTTATTTTTGATACTCAAATTCCTTTGACCTAACTATCACCGATGTTTTTACAAAATTTTAAAATTTTTAAAAATTATTCAGCCTCCGTCTTCTTCTTTCCTCTTTTTTTTTTTTTTTTTTGTCAACACAGGGGTGTCCGGGTCAAGACCCGAAGGCGGCCCGATTAATCCCCTACGCCTGGAGTAAGGCACCACCCCAACCGCACCCAGGCGTTAAGTGAGGTTCGACCCCACGACCTGTGAGTGCCGGAAGCAGTCACAGACCACGTGATCTAGCCCCGAGTGATCTTCTTCCCTCCCCACCCTCCACCTTTTACTACTACGCCCCACCACCCTCTTCTCCTCTCTCCCTCCTTTCCTACCTCTCACTCTCTTTTCCCCCTCCGCCTCCACCTCCGAACAAGTTGAAATAATGGCATCATATGTATATGCACTCCTAAAATTGAACAATGACAACTAACATTTATTGCTCAATGCAACAAAACTTTTCACAAAACTAATCCTTCAAAGTTACAATTATAATTCACCATCGTTCAACCAAGAAAAGGGAAAATCATAATTTACTATCTAATTTCCCAAGAGGCTTGTGGTTTTCAAGATACTCAATGAAGCTGTTGATAATATACCTACACCGTTCATGTATCTACTAAGCATATCTTTATCTCCAAACACACACTCAGCTCCTTTGCCTTATTCCTGAAAATCTAATCATCTTTACAAACCATTACTTTATTAACTAACTCGGTCACCGAGTCTCTAGTGAAAGAACCATCGTTTTCATCTCTAGGAATTTCTACAGCTACATTTGAATCGACTAGAATCCTTACATTCAAATCTTGATCAACGACTATTGGCAACATTATTAATGCACGCTCAAACCAAAATCCCCAATTACAGAACTCCAACCACAATGAGTCAAGAAACCACCCACCGAATCATGTCTCAGTATCTTGGGCAGGGAAGCCCAAGTTTCCTATTCCCTTGCCCTTTAACTCTCTCCAAAAACTCATTTGGTAGCGATTAGATCTCCTCTTCGGCAACCAAATCTGATCGTCAGGGAAGAGAGGAATAAAGGGAGAGGGGCAGAAAAGGGGAGAGAGGAAGGGAGGAAGAGTGGGAAAGGAGAAGGGAAAAGAGAAAGAGGAGGGAGGGAGAGAGGGTGGTGATGGGTGGTAGTAGCAAGTGACAGGAGGAAGATGGAGATAGCGGTGTAGCGGTAGTTGTGTGATAATAGAGGATGAAAGAAAGAGAAGGAAAAATAGAAAAGAAAAAGAAAAAAGAAAATCTATATTTAAATTTACTGGAAAAGATAGGAAAAAAATGATCTTTTAAAAAATTTTAAATTCTTTCAATTAATTTAGTTTTATTTCCCTACATTTAAACTCAACAAAACAACTAGACCCTTTCCTTTTCTCCTCAAAAACCATACAAACAACAAAAATCAAATCCTTTCAATTTCTCTCCTTTTCTTTTCCCCTATTCACTCAATCCAAACGATACTTTAATATAAGTGGGAGAACTCGAATTCGAAATCTATTATTTACACTCTCTTCCTCCAACCACCCAACCCATCATTTCCCTCATTTTATTACCACTCCTTATTGCTTCTTTCTTCCACAACCGAAGTTATCTCTTCCACAAATGAAGTTAATCCTAGCCTCAAACTATTGGCTTTGAAATCTATTTTGCATAATATGGCAATGCTCTATAAAGAAATACCACTTCTAGATTTACTTCACTATTAGGTTTAAATTCTCGTAGCACACGTAAAAAGCTTGCATGATGCAAATATGTATTTTTTCCATGCAGTAATTGGTATATAATTCATTAATGCATACATAAACAATGCTCGTCAAACAAGTTAATTACTCCTTATTTTTGGCTTATCTTTCCTTTACTCCCCGTCTATCCGAACACTAAATTAATTAAATATCATATTAGGCTTATATACATACTGATATTGCATCATATAAAAAAAAAGTTTTAAAATGTATTCATTCCAAAAGTATTAAACTCTATTTGAAAAAAACTTATTTGAAAAACTTTTATTTTTTGTCTCAGATATTAAAAGCATTTTTTTGTGATACGATGTATAAACAATACTCTCATTAATATTGATACATAAATAGTACTTAACGAAGGGGTCAAATACTCCTCAACTTTTTTTCCATTTTCTTTTGCCCCCAATAACTCGAGAACTAAGTAAGTAGACAATGGTCCCGTTTGGCAAGTGAGTTTTTTGGGTATTTGACTATTTGTCTAAAACTTTACTGTAATTTATTGTAGATGTTTTTAAAAAATTTTTGAAATGTATAGTTTAAAAACTTTAAAAAATTTTTTGAAGATGACTAAAGTTTTTAAAAAACTTGTAGCAGGCAAATTTGGCAAAAAACTTGTTTTCCAAACAAGGCCATTATTTTTACGAGGGTCAACATGCCGGTATATTGCATCATTTTGAAAACAACCAAAAAAAGCTTTGAAATGTAATAATTAAAAGTATTAATCTCCACTTGGCTTGAAGATTGTAATATATATATATATATATATATATATATATATATATATATATAATTGAGTTGGAAAATATTAAAAGGTGGTATCCAGTGAATAATATAGAAAAATTCTTGCAAATATCAAATGATTTCCAAAGGACGAGGGAAGTCCAAACGTGTAATTCATCAAAACGGTAATAGTATAAAAAATCTTGGACATTTTTTCTGCTACCCCTTTCTTCTCCGTTGGCGTGCCGGCGTACCGGCGGGAACCTCACATTGAACTTCAGAACCGAAGTCGCGAAACAATAAGAGATGCCGAAGAGAACAACCCACACCTACTCGAGCGAAGACGCCGCCCCCGACGGGCCTGATTCTGACCTATTCGTTTACTATTGCAAGCACTGCAGCTCTCATGTCCTCATTACAGGTTTCGCCAACCGCCGTTTCTTATATACCCCGTCAATTTTGAATTTGATTGCTCAGTCAATTTTCCCTCAAAAAATACAGTAATAAAATACAAAATCCAGCCCAGAATGAATCGAAGTTTATTTTTCTGTTTTTGGTTTGTATCTCCAATATAACGTGTGTCGAGCCTAAAGAATGTGTATAGATACTCAATTGCAGAAGATACCAAAAAGGAAGACTGACAAAGCATATGTGTTGGACAAGAAGAAGTATCTTGCTAGGCTGAACATACAAGAGGCTGGAAAAGTTCTCTTAAAACGGTAAAAGCTTGTATCCTAGAGTTTCTGTTCTTGAGTATCTTTCACCAATTTATCTGAATAAGCGCAAGGGATAACGTGGAACTTGGAGTTTTAGTTGGAATGTGAGTGGCGTCGAGGTCTTTTGAACT